GGGTCTGTCCATGTCTTTCGTGTCTTCTCCCCGTTTGGCCAGCAGGTGTCGCTGGCCATCTTGTCCTCCCCATTGTCAGTCTTTAGTGTTTCCCTTGCTCCCTTGATGGCTACATAGCTCAATGAGCTAACTATGCAGCTACATGTAATCCCCTTAGTCATGTGTGCAAATCCTGCCTCCTCTGTTTTTGTATTTTTGTAGATTTTGTTTAATTTGTATCAGTTTTCTAGTTCCTGTGTTTTGTGATTTGTATTCGGTTTTGGTTTTTGGCTTTGTGCCCGTGGTTGTGTTTTACCTGTCTGTTATTCCCCTAGTGTTAGATTCTGTTGCCTAATTTGCGTTTCATGATTTTAGTTTTATTAGTTCCACCTGTTGCCTGTTACCAGCCCTTGTTAATTGTTTTAACCTGTCCTGCATTACTCTTGTTAGCTTTTTGTATTTAAGTTCCTGATCCTGTTCTGTTACTCCTGGCGTCATTGGAGTGTTGTTGTTGCTCTTGTTGACTGTGTGTTTGGTTTTTGATTCTTTGCTTGTTCCGGAGCCCACGTGGTCCAATTTTGTTTTGTAGTGTTTTCCTAGTGTTTTCTGTTCTGTTAATAAACCCCTGTTGTATTCCTGGAGCTGCCAGTGGATCATCCACCTTCCTTCTTGCCTGCACCATGCCTCGCCCCCATGCCAGAAACTCCCGCGTGCATAACAGGAGGTTGACCACATCTGTAGCAGGTAACGCAAGGGTAGGCAATCTTATCCAGAAAGGGCTGTTGGGTATGTAGGTTATTGCTGCAACTCCCTAATTAGATTAGTAATTAGAGGACTGATTGGCTGAAGAGTCCTCACACATGGGTTTGAATAGCTGACCTAAAGGTTATTCCAAAAACCTGCATACACATTGGCTCTCTGTGGATAAGATTGGCCACCGCTGAGGTAATGAGAATAACTGAATCTGGACTAGATGATATTGAATCCTGCCTCACCCCATAAGGATGGTTCCTGATACCGTAACCAGATCCAGCGAATGACCCAAGGACATCAACAAATACCTGACTTTTGAAACTAGCACCTTAAGTAAGACCTCAAGAAAACAAGGACACGAAAAGGCTGACATGGAACATATTGACTGAGACAGATAAATTGACAGGAACTGGGATGTTCCTAAGATTTCCATCAGTGGCTTTTGGAATGTGGCACAGAATTTCTCCCTTATGAGAGCTGTGCCGAAAATGTCATGTGCAGGAACCCAGAAGCATTCCTCTGGTCCACAGTCTTCCCAGTCAACAAGGTTTTCCAGTTATCTTAGAATACCTGAAATATAAACCCATGTCTTATTCTCATTTGTTTCTTGGGGAATGTAATAACAATATCGGAGAAAAAAAAGCTGTTGACCATGAAATTGGGATGACAACCTTGAACAGTTATGTTCTGGAGTGACAGGGGCCCTAAATTTGTGGAACATAATCAGATTGATCTGGGTTGGGGGCCCAATATGATATTCTTTCATAGCACCCAAAATCTCTAGCTGTGCCACACATTTTTCCCACCGCATGGGAACGGCTAAAACCACCTGCCTGATTTTCCTTCAAGTCTGATGGTCTAGGTGGTACACGGATATCATGGCTTATGTCACCTGTGGCCTGTACTACGAAGCAGGGTTACTGGCTTATCGGGGTAACTTGTCGGATTTAAGGTACCACAGTTTAAATAGACTTCATATTCGTTCACTTACATTTTGCCCAGACCACCTTAAATCCGACAAGTTACCCCGATAAGCCAGTAACCCCGCTTCGAAGTACAGGCCACTGCTTTTACAGTAAGAACCTTTTTCAAGAACAGGAACCTTTGTTCCAGAACCAGGGACATTTGTTGTGTTCACACCACTATAGTTCCTCAGAGACAGCTCTGGAACTTTTTTTTTTAGTCCATACTTCAGACTCTGTACTTTTCACGAACAACTGGGCTGGGGCTTACAGCCATAAAGACATGCTGATTGGTTGATGACAAGCACTGCCGCTAACTTCAAAGTTACGTGGAACAGTAAGGAAATGAGATTTAATTAGGAAAAATTGAGCAGATGGAATTATTTTTGTTCCTTCACGTTTCTGTATCAGAAAATTTGATTTTTGCACATCTGCCAGATATTGCCCCTGTTGGTGGGAAAACTTGCCAGTGCTTATTAGCACGATAGCTACGTTACATAATGTTTTATGTTGTATTCTGTGAAACCGAATGCCCAATCTGCCGGGCACATATAATCATGAAATAAAAACATACCGCAGGCCATATTAATAAAATAAAAGGCAATGTCCCATTTTGATTGCAATCGCTACCCCTCCCCCAACTAACAAATAATTTAACTTTTTCATCCTCCATTGTTTTGGGGTGGCGGTGTGTTTTCAAATTATGTGTTAAGTGTAACCTACGAGCTTTTTGCGTCTCCCATGCTTGATTAGTACAAAGGTCCCTGTTCTGTTGTGTAGTCGAGACAGCAAAGAACTTGTAACCAGGAACCAGAATCCAGATCTTCAGTGTGTGTTGTTATTTAGTAATAACAGCACACACACACACACACACACACACACACACACAGGTATGCCTTATGTTTATAGTTTTTAGAAGTATTTTATAATATGTTTGTCTATTGGTTATGAATGCATGTACAGTGCATTCACATTAATCAACGGATTTTCTATTATATATAAATATAGAACAAGATTTTAGGCATTTTCTGCCAATTTATTAAAAGTAAAAAGATCACATTCACTTAAGTATTAAGACACTTTGCTATGCCACTTGAAACTAGTCTCTGTATTGCTTACTTAGTAGGTAAATTTTGGTACTCCTATATTTGTGAATTATACCAAATATTACACATTACAATTCAGAGCTTAATTATTGTTGGCAAAAGGTATACAATTGTGCGTATGCACCCAAGAAATAATTCTCATGGCGTATAATAACGTCATCATCTTTCTTCACCCAGGCATTACATTATCACTTCACAATGCAGAATTACTAAATTAGATCATAAAAAAACATAAAATGCATAAAAAATGTGTGTGCAATTTGTTACGTATGATCAGATAAGTGATTTATCTGACACTAAAGTCTAGAGCTGCGATCTTCACTGCACGGTCTGTGGGCCACTGAAGGCTCCCAGCGGCCAGTGTGGTAGCCCATGACCGAATACAAAAATAAGCAAATTACCCTGACCATCAGCTTTATTATTTTCAAATTATTATTATTCTTTGATCAAGATGCAGTGCAACTTCCCCAAAAATGTGCAGCTACATAGTTAACTAACAATTAAGTGACGCAGCATCAAGATTACATCTGGCTAGTTAGCTTTTAAAAAGTAAATGGTCCCCCACCAACCCCCCTGTACACTGGTAAGCGTGGCCCTCATCTAAAATTCAGTGAAGAACACTGGTCTAGAGTTACATTAATATATACAGACATCATGGCTAAAAGGAAATGGAAATAGAAAGCCTGAAACTCATTTAATCATACTTGCAGGTTTGTTGTATATTCTTGTCCAAAAAGCATATACAGGTATGCAATATATCCAACTCCACTAACTACCCTCTTTGTCTGTCTACTGTATTATCTGTTTGGTGCTGTTCAGATGCTTTACATGTTAAGGCCCAGAAGGGGACCTGCAGTAACACTTAATTGGTTCCGTTTCTGATGTGCATGGAATGGACCGTCATTTCTCTTTTGACTGAAATGCGTTGTGTTTTCCACCTTCTGGGAAAAAAGAGAAAGTGAGGGTAGATCTGTTTTTCCACAGGTATCATTTAATGTTCAACAGATAGATAGACGAAAGAAAGAAAGAAAGAAAGAAAGAAAGAAAAATAAAGAATCGTGTAAAGGAATGGCAATTGATACCAAGTGCATTCATAAACGATAACGATACGCGACTCTCCCTGGTATTAAGTTTATGTAAAAACTCTTTTAATGTAATTCTTGATGTAACAAACTCTAAAATACAATTGAACACGTTGGGGAATATTTAACTGGATCCTCGTATAAACTTTTCTTTGATTTAGATTGAGACACGGTCTTGCATAGAAGTGTCCGTCGAATCTGTTTCATTTTCGCATTCGCATTACTGTGTTTTTCACAGGGAACGGAGACGATGGAAGCTGCGACTGCCGACTTGCGTAAGATTTTTTTTTTTTAACTTCTGAGTCTTTTTCGCGCCTGCCGATGCCTAACATAAAAAATTTTGATCTTGATATAGCTAGCCAAGCCAAGGCGCTATAATCATCGCCTACCTTCCCGAATCAAAGCGATGTTATACAATTACGCGAAACAGTTTTGCGACGTATAGAAGTTCCTGTAGGCGGCGCTGCGTGACTTTCAAATGACTTTTCTGCGCTTTAGCATTTGGTATTGCTATTACGACGTATTTTATTCTGAAATATTTATTTTTAAATATTTAGCGTCGCAAAATTATTACAAATTAAGTATTACGCCAATCTCAATGTTTAATTAGTCTTAGTGTGTAGTTTGAGAAGTAAAAGGACTGCAGAATGCACAGAATTGTAAATTGTGACTAAAACGGAGCCCTACTGTCACGCATCACCAGATTCATATAGGCTAGGCCTAGCAAATGTGTCTGTGTTATTAACAGTAAAATATACTACGTTTTGTATAGAGGAATAAATCAGTTCATCAATAAATAGTTTTTTTGTGACAGTGGGTAAACTGACGATTTTTCAAGCCTAAAGTACACAAAAAGATGTTTTCTTATACAGTCTTTTAACTCCGCTCTTATGAGCAGAGCACTGCTTCGGCACGTGCCGCACACGGGAGAAGGAGCGCGCTACACACACGTGGGTGAGGTATCAGCCCCCCCCCCCCCTCTCCCCGGAATGACTGACAGATAGACCTTCTCTGCGCCAATCTGAGCAGACAGGGACGAATTTGCAAAATATCACCAGTTGCCATTGGCTAATTATATGTGCTATGAATCGCGCATAAAGCTTCATTTACTTATATGATTATATTTTTTGTGCTAAGAAACTTAAATAAGAAAACTTTTTGTGGCAGCCTGACTTTTGGTCATATGTAATCGACAGTCAAAATGGATAACAAGCACCAACTTTCAGACGAGTAATATTTCTTTCAAATCGAATATCCTTAACCAAATAACTCTATTCACGCAAGGGTATAAAATAATGAATCATGTTGTTTATATAGTATTGTGAATGTTTAGTGTTATGTATTAAGTATATGTGTAGATGTAAAAACGAATAATCTTCTAAATCCATAAGCGCATAAAAGAAAAACCTTCGTAGACAACAGTCAGCTACCCCCCATTCACCTTATCACTTAACAGCTAGATCCTCCGAACTCCCAGCTTTGTTGTTTGGGCCCCTGGGGCAGATCGAGCAGCGCGTGACTGACAGCGCGCGCGGGGCGTTGTCCAATAGGCGGTCTCCCCGACGCCCCGTGGGTGAGTCTTCAAGGCCATTGGTTATAGCGAGTGTGGGAAAGAATGCAGAGAAGGTTTCACATAAACCGGGAGCTAACTAGACAGCTATAAATACCTCCTGCTTGTGGCCAAATTATATCAGATATGCTTAAATGGCACGTGCATGTGTGATATATGAGTACATTTAAGTGATATCATCAAGTGGGACTTGGTGTTCCATCGTCAGTGTCACCTGATGCTAGTCTTTTTTTAATGTTCAAGGCATAGGCTAAAAACTGGAAATCCCACAAAAGGATATAACTGTTTGCATATAGTTTTTTAATTAAAACAAAGAATAGTGAAAATGCCTGCAGACCTGTTGGAGAAAGTTACAACGTCCCCAGTCGCCTGTGCCAGTGCCAATGGGACATACACACCAGACAAACTGAAAAATGCCAGCGAGCACAGAAAGGTAAAACTACTGACCTCTACATATGCTCATGGTGTATATAGACTGGAGTTGTTGGCGTTTAGATGTGTATTTATCCTAATTGTTTACTCGCTGTTAATCTTTCAGACGTCCAAACCCATCATGGAGAAACGTCGGAGAGCGAGAATTAACGAAAGCCTAGGACAGCTCAAGACTCTTATTCTTGACGCCCTTAAAAAAGATGTAAGTTTTCAGTAGTTCTGCTGGGTGCTTAGTGTGACGTACTTTTCCCCAAGGACATTTATATTATTTTGCTTTCTGTGTATTCGTAGAGTTCAAGGCACTCTAAACTGGAGAAAGCTGATATTTTAGAGATGACAGTGAAGCACTTGCGGAACTTACATCGCGTTCAAATGACTGGTAGGTATTCCTCATCTGCTGTGTACCCCTGAATTTTACCAAAACCTTATCCAGTCTCCTGTCTACTTCGACTGTCATATATTAAACAACTATATTTTATAACTCTGTTGATGCAAGAAGACTTTATCTTAAATGTCTTTTTTTGCACGGTTACATTTATCTGTAATATATAAATTTGCCTCTTTTCTTGCAGCGCTAACAGGTGATATAACGATCCTAAGTAAATACAGGGCAGGATTTAACGAATGCATGAACGAGGTGAGTCGTTTCTTGTCTACCTGCGACGGGGTAAACACGGAGGTGAAGTCCCGGCTTCTGAACCACCTGTCCAGCTGTCTAGGACAGATGATTGCAATGGGTTATCCGCAACCAGCCCCAGCTCAACAGACTCGCCACGTACAACCCTTGAATGTGCAATTACCGTCGACACTGCCTGTTAGTGGCGTCTCAGTGTCGTGTAAACTGAGTCCCGCTGAAGGGATTTCACCTAAAATCTACGGTGGCTTCCAACTCGTACCTGCAACCGACGGACAGTTCGCCTTCCTCATTCACAATCCAAGCTTTGCATCAGCTGCTACCTCTGTTATTCCCGTCTACACCAAGACCAGTATGCCAGTAACTGTAAACTGCAGCTCGGCGTCCGTGGTTCCCTCGCCAGTCCAGGGTGTCACTTTGTTCGCCGGAGTTTCCCGGGCCAGTTCGGTCAGCCCTGGCGCCGATTTGGAAAGCGACGGGTCCGTTTGGCGACCCTGGTAAATGACATAAACTAAGGAAACGTAGTTTCCCATGAAACGTCGTCATTTTTTTCAGATGAAGAGGAGAGTTCCGTTTTAAGGAGCAAGATTATTTTTTTTCAACTGGACTAGACTTGAGTTATCTTTTATTTATTTTTTATTTGGATGTGGATAATAAATGTAATGTTCGTTCTTTTTGAAAATGGAAGATGCTTAATTGTCTATTCTCTTTTCTTAAAGGTTTTGTACAACTTTGTCAGTTGTCATATGTCATCTTGCCAAAGCTCTGTTTTGTATTGTTTGCCATTTCGTGTTTAAAAGCGAATGGGTCACCGGGAATAAAAACTGGTGATAACTGAAAAACACTACTTTATTTTATTACTTTCCAGTATTTCGAAATGCATGTACATTCGCTACATGAATTATAAAGACTATTATAAATTTGTAATGGTACGCGTTAACGTATGAGCTACATTTTGTTTACAAAAGAGGTGACTATCAAAGTAGGCCTACAGGCATGCTCCTCCCGTGTCATTGTGTGTCCCCCCCACAGTCCAAACACATGCTGATTTTAATTGAAGTTGCTAAATTGCCCATAGGTGTGCATGTGTGTGTAAGCGAATGGTGCGTGAGTGTGCCCTGCGATGGGCTGACGCCCCATCCTGGGCTGATTCCTGCTTTGCGCCCACAGGCTACGGACCCCCGCTACCCTGAACAAGCCTCTGTTACAGAGGACGGATGGGTGATCGAATTGTACTGAAACTGGTATAGAGGTCATTTTTAAAGCTGAACCACCCTGCCTCTGTGATTTAAAGTCCTCACTGTGTATGCAGCTGCAAATGTAGTTTGGGGTAAATGTCATTCTGCTCCGCTCCTTGCTGTGTTTTGTTCGCAAATTGTTCGGTCCCATTCCGAATACCTGAATAGGAGGGAAAATAATGGTGGTAAAGCTAGTTTTCTGAAAATGACTAAAATATATTGCAAGCAGTGTGTTTCCGTTGTTTTTTTTTTTTTTTTTTTTTTTTAACTTGAGGGGGCACAAATATCTTAATTCAGGTAGGTACTACTCACGAACAGATCATGAATCTATATAGGTCCTGCATATACCGTCATGAGTGATTAATGATGAACGGACATGGAATCAGTACGTATCCTACACTTATAGTTACTGATTAATTAATAAATTAAACATGTACTACATTACAGTATTTTGTAAGTTACCGAGGAAACAGCTATGCCGCGAAGTTCGTTTGGTGCTTCATTTAGGCTACAATGTTATCTTATCTTTGTCTGGTGTATACGGAAGCGCATTGCATTCACAATAGAAAAACATAGACACCTTATGTCGTAATTATGACTTACTATCTCGTAATTATGGAAAAAGATCTCGTAATTACGAAATCGTAAGTCAGACTAATTACCGATGCCCACAAACCTTTCCGCGAGGCTATTTACCGGCGCGGATAGTGTATTATTAATATTATTATTATTATTATTATTATCATTATTATTATTATTTTATTTATTGTCCCGGTGAACCCGTAATTTGCATGGCCCTCATACACACACTCCAGTTCAAGGGGTGTGTGCAGCTGCTCTCTGCAGCATAGCGGTGTTAGTTGAATAGGAATTGATAAGCTAGCTAACTTAGCCGGTATCAAATGGCAGGGCAGCGCCAGTCAATACAAAACTAAATAAATCCGGTTAATTATTTATTTACTTATCCTTGTTTGTTTGTTTATTTGCTTACCCCCCTAAATAACTCCCGTATGTGCCTGCGCAATGTTTACATACTGCAGAGGACATTCAGTAACGTTAATATTTCATATAGTGTCTGATACCTAAAAGAAAATAAACAGATTAATTGAGGCAGGGCCACTATTACCCACTGCCTGATCTCATAATTGTGAGATACTATAGGTCATAATTAGGAGAGAAGGTGTCTATTTTTTTTTCTTTTGTGAATGCAATGCGATTCCGTATTCATGAGTAAAGTCCAGCAAACTTTTACACTGCATTGGTGTAGCAGCATGCCTGCCACTTGTAGTGACGTGACCCCACCGTCCTTCCACTAAGACAGGGCCGCCCAATCCTGCTCCTTGATTTATACCACCCTGCAGAGCTTTGGTGCTGCCCTAATGTAACAAGCCTGGTACAGATAATCAGGTCCTTCTGTATCATCTCAGTATTCGTACCAGCTAAGTTGAAGCTAAGCTTGCTACAATACTGAGATGCTACTTCCTTTAAATGTGACATTATTGGAATACATTTTGGAGGAGCCTTACACCACTCCGTCACACAGATCATTTCAAGTTCCTTGACTAACTTAGGATTGCGGTTGTGAACTGCCCCCTTTAAATCAGCTCTGTAGATGGCCATTGCCAAATTTTGATGGATGTTGTGTTCCTGCAACATTTTCTGTGTTGAGTTTGATGTAAGTTTGGGTTCACTGTCTAACAAATTTTGGGCTAAAAATCATTATGCAATTGATCTTAAAAATCCCCTGCGCCACTAGTGACAAAACAGCCCCAAAGCATCAATGATCCACCACCGTGTTGTATTGTGGGCGTCAGGTCCTTCTCTTTGAATTCCATCCTCTTTTGATCTCAAACATGCCAGTGGTGTGCAAAGAGTTCAGCTTTGGTTTCATCTGACCGAAACACACAATTCCAATTGTTGAGCTTAATAACCCCAGGATTCCACTAAACCAGTGTTTCTCAAAGCGGTCGGTCCTCAGGGACCCCCTGGCAGACCACATAAATGTAGACTGTCTGGCAGGGAGCTGGGAGGGAGCAAAACCATGGACCATCTGGAGGTCGCTGAGGACTGGGTTGAGAAACACTGCACTGAACTGTGCAGTTATTAATCTGGTCTTTCATTGTTACCTCCTTCAGTTACCATGGAAGAGCAGAAGATTTGACTCAAATGTATTATTTTATGCAATAACTTTTGCTCATTTATATGTATGCATTGTATGCAGTAGGCAGTTTCTGGGAGGGTGAGGGGGTGCCATCCCCAATGTCAGCACCCTGTTCCCCAGGCCTGCCACCCTATTCCCCAAGCCTGCCACCCTGTTCCCCAGGCCTGCTACCCTATTCCCCAGGCCTGCCACCCTATTCCGCAGGCCTGGCACCCTATTCCCCAGGCCTGCCACCCTATTCCCCAGGCCTGGCACCCTATTCCCAGGCCTGCCACCCTATTCCCCAGGCCTGCCACCCTATTCCCCAGGCCTCTCTAATGTGGTTTGCTGTGCGTGAAACCATAAAAAAAAATATTAGAATTCATTGATTAGAATCTGGAAAAGTTGAAAGAATTTCAGAATATGGATGGGATTATGGGAACAAATCAAATAGTTGTAGGTTATTTTTTGTAACGTGATTAGATATTTCACAGTATTGGTTAAGATGTCCTGCAACTGTCCTTTGGAAGGTGTACATTTTAAGCATGTCTAAGCATGTTGATGGGTTGTGTGTTGTCAGGGGTGAGCCTTCATTGGTCCATTCCCCCTGTTAAAAATTAACGAATGTATGTTACCACAGGCTAGATGAAATGGCTGAACACTATATGAAATAAAGGTATTTTTCAGCCCCTCTCCAAGGATGCTATACTGATACTGTATTCATGAATTTCGATATTTCTTGCTAAAACTAATGACTTAGAGGTCTGTGTTGTGAATGTGCACATGTATGGGTGAAACCTGTATCTATCTGTGGGGAAATTTCAGTCCCCGAGATTCCTTTTCCGGGACATTCATGGGACACTGTTCTGAAACAGATGTCCAGCTATCCAGTCAAATGAAATATTTTTTGGCCAATCATGCAGACTCTCTGTATGGCCAATCGCCCAGTAGTTGTAGTATATCTACAAAGCAGGATTCTGTACATCGTTCACAAAAAAAGGAAAAAGCAAGGTTCTCTAACTTGGTAAGGTTCTCACTTGTTCCATTGTAGGTAATAGATTTTTCCTGTCATAGAAATAGGGTGGAAAAAGCTGTCAGTACATCGAAAGGGTTTAGGTTCTGATACCAGCTGTAAGTTGTAATACTAAAATAGGGCTGAACCTGATTTGCTTAGTTAATCTCCCTCCTAAATGATACAAGAAATATTAATTCTGTCTTAACAGGTGCCTCCTCCTGAAAATTCACTACAAATTAATTCATTTTCTATAATAAATAATATCTAACGATGAAGTTAGAAGAGGAATGTGTTGATGATGATAATAATGGTTTCTGCAATTGCAAAGACCCAGAAGGAAGTCCCTTGCATTTTCAATTATTTTGATTATTGTTCTTGTAAAACATCTCCTGACTCAGTAAGCTCCAAAAGTGTTGTTCTTATTCTCCATAGATATTTATGTAGTGTGAATGATGAGGATTTTGTAAAGAAGTTCAATGGCCAATATGGTAGGTATTTCTCATTTGAATAAAGGGCAAAGAAATTAAAGACAAACATTGATGTGATACAAAAAGGTCAGAGATCTTGAGCTATAATCGAGAAACAGCATAGTATGATCCTGGGTTGAAAAGCCAAAAGGTCGGTCCTGGGGGTGCAGGGAAAGGCAGGCACACATACAGACACAGGGAAGAGAGTTATGGGGAGTGGTGCTCACCAGCCAGGATACCGGTATTGCAAACACACAAAAGCACGTGGCAGGAAACTCATGCATTCAGGAGAAAATGGTGGTTGATGTGGTCAAAGTAGCGTCAGAGTAGAGCCTTACAATTGGGAATTTGGTGTGTATGTATCAATTTGTTTCTGCTTCAGGCTAGAAATTGACTGGCACTGACTAAAAGGGTTATTGAGTCTCAATCCACAATGGCAACAACTGATGGTGTTACCATGGCGCTATAACCAGACAATGGGTATAGGCATATGGTTGCAATCCTATAGTGCCTGAATCCCACATTCCCCCATGCAAACTCCCAGAGATAGCCATTTATCAATATCCTCTCATTTCATGGTAAATATCATTTATAATGTTTTAACAACTGATTTAAAAAAAATAAATTTAAACTCCTAGTGACTTCACTGCTGGCTGCACTGAGAAGTTACATTATCACGAGAAACCACAATATTTAATGCTCCACTGGGTTGAAACCATAATATTTAATGCTCCACTGGGTAGGCATTTAGTTTCGTCACAATTCAAAACTCCAAATAGATAAATAATTCCAGTAAGTAAAGTGGAATTTAAGTAGAGCTTTCAAAAGATAATGCAAAAGAAAAGTGTCACCCTTCTGAAAATGAACAAAAAATGTTTTCTGATAAAGGAAGTTTGTGATGTTCAACACCCAACCTTTCGTTATGAACTACATGCAACATTGTGGTTGCTTAGTGTCTTAGCAACCAGTGAGAGGCAGCCTG